GTCTCCATGTTTTCAATAGGTAAGTGTTAGTGTTGGACACCATACAAACACAAGTCTCCATGTTTTCAATAGGTAAGTGTTAGCATTGGACACTTTACAAACACAGGTCTCCATGTTTTCAATAGGTAAGTGTTAGTGTTGGACACCTTACAAACACAGGTCTCCATGTTTTCAACAGGTAAGTGTTAGTGTTGGACACTTTACAAATACAGGTCTCCATGTTTTCAATAGGTAAGTGTTTGTGTTGGACACTTTACAAACACAGGTCTCCATGTTTTCAATAGGTAAGTGTTCGTGTTGGACACTTTACAAACACAGGTCTCCATGTTTTCAATAGGTAAGTGTTAGTGGTTGTCACTTTCTAAACAGCTAAAGTAACTTAAGTTTCATTCACCCACCAGAGTAAAGTTCAAAGTTAACCATGTGATAAATCTTTGACCATTTCAAGAAACCAAACGTTTCCTAAAAAGCAGGACGATTTACATGCTCATGCATCTTGGACAATGAACAACTTCAAAATGTTACATTTTAAAAAATAGCCCAATAAAACAAAAAGAAAACAAAACTTATCAAATCCAAATAAACAGATAACCAGAAAACAACAGTTATAAAAACCTTTTATTGACAGTACTGTCTTAAATTAGGTGTTAGAGCAGCAAGTTTTTCTTTGGGATCCCATATATTTATTATTACGAACTTTTGGGAATTAAACTCCACACCCCATTAGGTCCATACAAATTTTCAGTTTTACATTTTTCGGTTTTTGTGGGCATTTTTTTACCACTACTTTGCCCCCTGTGGATGGATCTTCACCAAATTTGGTATGTAGGTTCATTGGGTCCATGGGGGAGATTCATACAAATTTTTAGTTTTGCATTTGGCAGTATTTATAGTTGCATTTGTGTTTTCTACTACTGCTTTGCCCCCTGTTGATGGATCTTTACCAAATTTGGCATGAAGATTTGTTGGGTCCATACGGAGATACGTCTAAACTTGCAGTTTCACATTTTCATATAAGGGAATCAACTTTTCATGTCCTAAGATAACCTTTCATTAATCATCAATTTACATAACTTCCATCCAGTGGAAGGGTACTCCAGCTAGTCATTAAATTATTTTTTTATGATTTGAAAACTGTGAGAAGGTGTTTTTTTAAGCCCCCACCTTATCACACCCATCACAACTATGGTATTTGAATGTCTTTCCATACATGGAATATAAATAGATGTTATCATTTAAAATGAGATTAAATTTTCCACATTTCAACTTCCCGAGCTACAAATATTGCTTTCTTCCAGTGTATGAAACTAGAGATTTGTGAGAAAAATGGGATTCCATATAACGTGTAAACATCCAATGTATCCTGTAGGCACCTTTTTAATATAGTACTACACAAACTCTTTGATTTCTTTAGCAGAATAAACAAACAAAAACATCCCAGTTTTCTTCAAATGATCGTCAAACACAAATTTCTTGAATTAGGCAGATACATGAAGTGTGTGTTTGCTCTATATTTCAGTAACTACATAAAGATACCAACCTCATTTCCTGAACACTGAATTTAGCTATTAAGTTTTCTCACTGAAAAGTAAATACAGAATTTATCTTTGTCATATTAAAAGTTTGTTTACATCTAACACATGAACACAAGCGCTTGATGGCAGCAACACTCCACAGGACAGGGGGTGGTGGGTGGAAGTCCAGGTATGATACTGATCATCTGTGTGAAGTAACGGTATAGAAATTAGTTACAAAATATAGTACAAATAAAAAAATATAACCATCGCTGTTCTTAAATAGTCCGATTAGAAAACTGGTATCGATAACTTTAAGTGTAGTCAGTAGCTAAATTGGAATTTTTAAGGAATTGTCATCTATATAAACATTTTAATCAGAAAACTAATATTCATAATTTTAAATATAGTTGATGGTTAAACTGGGATGTGGATCTCCCTTTTGTGATCCACTTTAACATTCCAATCACCAGATCAGATTCGTTAATAGCATGAATCTTCAAGATCCAGAACTCCATTCTGGACCATGATTACATGTATTTGTAAACATTTTCACAAAGTAAAAATCACTACATCTCATTATCAAAATATATAAACAGGTACTCAGTAATGAACCAACACTTGTATACTTAATATATTAACAGGTACTCAGTAATGAACCAACACTTGTATACTTAATATATTAACAGGTACTCAGTAATGAACAAACACTAATATACTTAATATATTAACAGGTACTCAGTAATGAACCAACACTTGTATACTTAATATATTAACAGGTACTCAGTAATGAACCAACACTTGTATACTTAATATATTAACAGGTACTTAGTACATCAACCAACACTTATATACTTAATATATTAACAGGTACTCAGCAATGAACCAACACTTATATACTTAATATATTAACAAGTACTCAGTAATGAACCAACACTTATATACTTAATATATTAACAGTACTCAGTAATGAACCAACACTTGTATACTTAATATATTAACAGGTACTCAGTAATGAACCAACAACTTATATACTGAATATATTAATAGGTACTCAGTAATGAACCAACACTTATATACTGAATATATTAATAGGTACTCAGTAATGAACCAACACTTATATACTGAAT